CTCACTATGTTGCCCTCAGTAGAGTGCCATGGCGTCACAACTCACAGCAACCTCAAACTCTTGGGCTTAAGCGATTCTCTTGCCTCAGCCTCCCAAGTAGCTGAGACTGCAGGCATCTGCCACAATGCCTGGCTATTTTTGTTGCTGTTGTTCCAGTTGTCATTGTTGTTTTAGATAGCCCAGGCCAAGTTCATCCCTGCCAGCCTTGGTCCATGTGGCCGGCACCATAACCACTGTGCTAGGGATGCCCAGCCTACTTTAGGACTTTTTCGAAAAAATGAATTGACCATTTATGTGTGAGCTTATTTCTAGCTTGTTTATGTGTGAATTACTTTATTTCATTGATCTGTATGTCTGTCTTTATGCTGATAATACACAGTCTTGATCACTATAGCTTTATAATTAGTTTTGTTCTTCAACTTGAAAATTATTTTGGCTATCCTATGTCCTTTCCTATATAACTTTTTGAATCTCAGCTTGCTGGAATTTTAATTGGACAGCATTTAATTTATAGATCAATTTTGGAGAAAATTACCATATATATTATTTTTTATTGAGACAGAGTTTCCCTTTGTCATCCTCGGTAGAGTGCTGTAGCATCATAGCTCACAGCAACCTCAAACACTTGGGCTCAAGTGATTCTCTTGCCTCAGCCTCCCTATTAGCTGGGACTACAGGTGCCCGCCACAATACCCAGCTGTTTTTTTTGTTGTTGTTGTTGTTTGTTTGTTTAGCAGTCCTGGGGCTGGGTTCAAACCCACCAGCCCTGGAGCATGTGACTGGCATCCAGCTGAAAATTACCATATTAACACTATTGACTCTTCTAATCCATAGATAATGTATCTCTCCATTTATTTAACTCTTATTTTCTTTCATCAATGTTTGTAGCTGTCAGTGTACAAATCTTGCATGTAGTTTGGATTTCTTTTGGATGTTATACATATATGCTTTCTGCCTACTAAATTCAGATAAACATCTCAACATTTCTTTACATTTCATCCTAGGTTTTTTTATGGATCATATATAAAGTAATTGAGATCATACAATGTATCAAATTTTGTTGTACATCAGAGTCCCCTGGGGAGTGTGTTGAAACTAGATTCTAGAGCCTCATTCATGGAAATTCTGGGTCTGTGGTACAGACCAGGATACTACATTCTTAAGAAGTTTCTCAGGTAATGTTTTAAAACATTTTGAAAAAAAATATCATACACAAAGTTAAAATGGTTTTATCTAACTGAACATATCACTTCTTGGCTCGGCGCCTGTGGCTCAAGTGGCTAAGGTGCCAGCCACATACACCTAAGGTAGCAGGTTCGAATCCAGCCCAGGCCTGCCAAA